TACACACACACACACACACACACACACACACACACACACACACACACACACACACACACACACACACCTGATTGATTTGATGAGAGACAATAAAACGAATGACATGCCGGCTCAGACATCGCCCAGCCAAACAAGGTCTGCGTCAGGTGATGGGGAACCAGAGCACCTTGATGAAAAATGGGCTACTGGAACAAAGCGGAGATGGGCGAGATGCGATAACATGGCTCTGTTGGAATGCTACTACTCAAGCAACCCTAGTCAGAGGGGTTACATGCAGAGAATGTATACACACACGCACACGCACACGCACACACACACACACACAATTCCTTTAGCGTCGCTTCATCTCGTGGATGTATAGCGCAACCGCAGCCACTATTGTAACTTCTATTCTATGCGCCTTATAACGCAGTGCGTCCTATTTATGAAAACAGTTTTAAAATAGGTCATTCACTGAAGATGCGCCTTCTAATCCGAAGCACCTTATAGTGCAGAAAATATGATATAGATTAAGAGGGCGAGTTTGCAGTTAAAAAAAAAAAAAAAAAAAGGCTTTTTTTAAAATGCGTGTTCATTCAATCTATATATCACCTACCTAACAGTAGATTATTTAAAATGAGCTTTTGAAAAATCCCTCTCTGGCCCCAACTTCAGCTTCCAACTTGATTTTTAACCATTATTTTAGAACTTGTCACATCGCTACAAGCACAGCCTGAGACCGTTGTGTTAGAAGATGCGACCAAAGCGTGTTCATAATTGAAGTGAAGCAGCACACTTGCCATTTTCCTACAAAGATTATTTGATTGCAGTTATGACCATAACTTACCGAGAGGCAAATTTTGTTTTTCTGTTTTTATTGGAGAGCTCTAAAAACATACAGTTTGCAACTCAGACGTTCTACATGGATGGCTGCATCGTTGGGCTTGGAAAACAGACCGCCAATGTCATAGTGCCAGAGTTTTTTTTCTGCATTCAAAATTGCGTGGTGACCGCCTCCAGCCAGACCAATTGATATAGCTCAACACAGTGTCAAGCTCCAGCGGTGCTGATTGAGGGATTGATGTCTCTCTGCAGCAGCTTTGTATTTTAATTGCAGTTGCAGCATTACGCCACTTTGCAGGCGCTATAGCAACAGCAGTGCTCAGGAAAGACCTGAAGCAACGGCTCACATCCTCCTTCGCCGAGCTACGGAACGCCTTCATGTACTGCGCACACGCAGGTCAACTGCCGCCCCAAAATACACCGGAAACCCTGGATGCACAATAAATATTGGAATGACGACATCCTGTTTAATTATTTTTATTTATAGTGCAGAAAATACGGTATATATTAAGGACGCGAGTTTGGAGGGCTGTGGGACTTCTTGTGTAAAAAAAAAAAAAAAGGGGGGGGAGATAAGGCCTTTTTTTTTTTTAAATGCATGTTTGTTCAACGTATACATCCCCTAAGAGTAGATTATTAAAAATGAACTTTTGAAAAATCCCTCTCTGGCCCCAAATTCAGCTTCCAACTTGATTTTTATCCTTAAAACCTTAAAATAAATAAATAAATAGAACGGTCGTGGTTACGACTGTGTTCTGAAAGCCAACAAAGACAGCTGTGCTGTCTAGAAAGGAAATGTGCAAAAGTTTTACCAGAGAGGAGCCATGGGCTCCAACAATGAAGTCTGATTTCACCAGTGTCATTGTGGGCGCTTGGCGACCAACCTTTTAGCATTGTTGACTTTTGGGGGCTATTAAACCACTCGCAGTGTACGGTTTGGACTTCCGAGCCACCACTCTCTTCTAAAACAGGAGATGTCATGCTTCTGCATACTCATGACAGAAGGAAATAAGGACACAAGCCTCAATTCTGATTTATACCACTTCTGTCTCAATTTGAACCAGAAAAAACCCTGCAGTGCCATGAGGTGAGTTTATCACCGCTCTTAAAAATTTAATTGCTATTACAACGCCCCCCCCCCCCAAAAAAAACACAAAATCAAACAAGCACCATTCAGTGCGTACACCTTTCCATTATGAATTCTATTTGGATATAGTGCATGTCACATTCAGTGCATGTGGCATTCACGTTCATGAGGGAGTGAAGTGAGGCTACATTCACATCTTGCTAGCAACTTAAAAATAGCAAACTCCACCTTTAAATTGACTGATTAAAAATCAAATCTAATTGCGTTGTGACTTCTATCACATTGGAAATAAAATCAAGCCCAAAGCTCCTCCAACAGGGGCCTGTTCCTCTCTACCAGACTCTTAATTCTGCAGTTATCTGATGAATCACGAGATGGACAGTGCCCCTTTCTAGCTTGTTCTGTTATTTTCATCACATGACGGAAATCAAAAACAACTCACCTCTTCTTCATCGCTCTCGTCCTTCTTGTCTTTGTTCTTCTCTCCAAGAAGGTCCAGTTCGGGAACGAGCTGCGTGAGGTTGACGGTGGTCTCCTCTGGGGGGAGTTCGACCTGCGACATGTCTAGCCTCTGAGACAAGAGCGAGCGGTCCGGCAGCTGTTGTGGCTGCTGCTGTTCTAAGGGAGCCACCTGAAAGAGAACAGGGCCAATCAATGGGCGATGGAGCTCACAAAGGCTGGGTAAAAAATGTCAAGAACTGTTTGTAGAACTCACAGGCACGGCACTCTCCTTTTCGAGGGTCTTGCGTTTCACACCACGAGGGGTGGATGGAGGAGGCATGACCGTCTCATCCAGTGTTGTCCTGCTGCCTTCCATTGCAGAGGCAGCCAGCATACTGGGTTCTTCCATGATAGTCTGATCTATATGATGAATGAGGGAAAGTGTTGCTGACCAGTTATATTTGTTAGCATGCTACATTTGAATTGTCAAATGAAGTGCTCTTACCAATGACATCTCGGTGCTGACCCATAATCTCTTCTCTGGGCACCTCCGGGTTCTCCAACTCTTTGAGGAATTCATCTAAACTGTCTGCTTCACCACCCTTTCGCCTCTTCCTGAGCTCATCTGGCACCAGAGGTGTCAGGCACCGTGTGAACATCTAAGGTTTCAGTGTAGAGAGGAGATTAGGAACATCAACTGTTGAACAAAGGATCATTGAAAAAAATATATATATATATCGGCCTTATAGTCAGACAGGTGGTAGACAAAATCATAAATAGCTCTGATAAATTATGCAAAAAAACCCTTTTCAGTATTCCGAAAAAGCACATGAGGCAGTGAAAGGGGACAGAGGAGAAAAAAAAAAAAATCACTTTCTCATTGTACTCTTAAATCTCACTACCTGGGCAGCAGACCAATGAAAGATGAAACTTGAATAATTACCACTAAACTGGCCAACTTGTGCAAAAGGGATTGTTTGCTTCTGGCAAATGACAGTTGGCCTGTTCTCAAACACATTGGGTGATAAGTGTGATGAGTGTTAAGTGTAAATGCTCGCTCAAGACAATTTTTGTAAACCTGGAAACCGTACAAGATTGTACTACATCCGCCCAAAAATCTGAACCAGCCCCTCTAATACAGTAGCTAATTATAATACCCAACATTCATTACCTTGAGCAGCCTGGCATTCCAGAGAGGCTGAGCTGGAAGAGAGAAGAGCTTCTCCACTCCTCCGGTCTCTTTCCACATCATCAGCTTTTTAGTAGGAGGGGCAAGGTCCAGGGTGGTCACAATATCAGAGTAGTCGGAGAGTTGGGCTCTGATGGTTTTACTGTCCAACTCCTTCACACTGTCCACAATCAGCTTCCTCTTGCGTTTGGCCTTGGTCTCTTTCACTGAATAGAAGTTCAAATAACAACAATAATAACTATTATTATTATTATTATATAATTTTGTAGAGTCAGCAGTGTTGTTATATGCAATGGTGGTGGAACAAAACAGTATGAACATTTTCAATTAAACTTCCCATGAAAACTAATTTCAAAAGTCATACAAAATGTAGACTTAACTACACAGCACAATATGGTTATAGCAACGAGTCGGTGATTTAAAAAAAAAGGACAGTGTAACCGTTAGCTGCAGGGGAACAGACTTAACTCCCAAGTAAATGTAGTAGGTCTAGCTCTTAATAAGTTGACCAGTGTCCTGAGAAGCTCAACTGCAAATAATTGGGCACAAAAAAAAAAAAAAAAAAAAAATTCTAAAATATTTTTCTAACCAGTGATGTCAATGGGCTCCAGTGCAAATGCTTCCTCCTCATTATGAACAAGAGTAGTCTGTTCAGTCTGGTCAACCATAGCTGGCAGTGGCTCTGCCGGCCCGGAGTCTGGGCTGTCTGGACCCGCTAGACACACAAGATAGAAAACAGGAAATTTAATTAGACCCAGGTGTTCCTGTTGATGTGATTGTATACAGCAATTCAGATTTCCAAAGTCATTTTGAGACAATGTAAAAACAATCTTGATCTTATGCAGCAAGTACTTACGTGATTGAAGGTTGTCAAAATCATCCTCGTCATCACCATGATCTGGAGGCATCATGACGCTTGCAGTGATGGCTGGAGGGTCATCAAAAATGCCACCACCATCTTCGGAGCTCAGCAGCTTATCCACTGAAACAACGCAAATCATTTGAAGATCGCCACTTTCATGTAAAAACTGGGGAGATGCCAGGGATAGCTTTGAAGAACTCACCTAACATCCCTCCGTCACTGTTGCCCATGGAGGCATCACCAAAGTCATCATACTCCATGTGGTTGGATTTATCGGGAAGATTAGCTGGACCAGGCTCAGGCTCGAGCAAAAGGTTAGAGGCTGTGGCACCATGCATGATATCCTCCTCGAACGTGCTGGCGTCGCGCATCATCTCCCGGTCGTCCATGCCAAAATCAGCTGTGGAGAACAACAGGTTATTCTCGATATGACACGAGTTGCATTCGACTGAAAGAAAAAAGACACAAGATGTTTCTGTATCATGACTTTTGAAGATTGGTGCGTCACTCTTATGACTTACCAAAATCATTGTCTTGCAAAAGGCTGAGATTGCCAACATCCTCCCTCATGGTGATCTCCTCAACTCTGCTCTGATTCAGAGTGAACTGCTGGGCCACGTCAATGTCACTGTGTAAAGGACACCGAAGAGTGCAATGCTTATGTTGCATAATGAATGGAGCAGAGACACACATTCTTAGAATATCAGCATTCACATCTGGAGTTCATATCTTTTTTTTTTTTCCTAAGGTGTGACAAGTTTAATTCTGAACTGTAGACATGGACTTACTCCAAATCAGGAAGCGGCTGGTCAAAATCATGAAACTCTTCAGGTAAGGTGATGGCATTGTATGCCGCCTCTCTGTTTTCCTCAGGTAAATCTACCACGCCTGAACACAAATAATGCGCTCAAACTCAGAAAACGGTCCAAAGAGCAAATTATTCGAGCAATGGATGTCACCATACCTGGCCTGAAAGCCATTTTGATTTTGATAAAGGCCTCATTACAATCAGCCAGCAGGTATTTGGCCTTCCTGTGGTAGATTCTCACAACCCCAAGAAGCAGGTGACCTGATGTACGCAACGCCATCTTCACCTAGGAGCACAACACAAAATATATGCAATGTGGCAGAGAGATTTCAAAAAAGGCCTTTTACCAAACAAACTGAAGAAACCAAGTGTACTTTGTTGTTACCTTGGGTGAGATGATGCTCTCCACACTGCTCTCCAAGTTGCATTCGAACACATGAGCCTTGGTCAGCTTCTTGTCCCAGTGAGCCGCCAGCCAAATCTTGGCCAGCGGCCCACGTTTACTGAGGACAAAGTGGGCGTAGAACATTGCCCTGGTTCCACTGCCTCACACACACAATGGCGTAGGCTCACCTGGAGAATAAAATGAAGCTATGTTTTGTAAAAGGTCATAACAACATATATGGTCCAGCCGGTGTTATTGGGAACTGCTCTGATTTCCAGGATGTATAGGCGTAGCAAAGAATTCACGTCAGGCAAGTCAAACTTTCAGAGCACATGTTTCAAAATCAAAATAAGGCAGGAATGAAACAGTTCTAATTAAGAATGTGATTTAGTCATTTGAATTGAATGGTAAAAACAACCTATGGACTAAGTATTAGGGATGTAACAATATCCAAATGTCATATTATAATATGACGATATTGTGGTGAGGTTGGCAACATAAAAAGAGCTTACAATGTATAAAAATTCACAATATTGTACAAAAAAATACTCATTATACTGGGGAAAAAAAGCGCAATATTGTGTTTTTGCACATAACATCAGTGACGAAGAAATAGGCTTGGCCTGTCATTTTATTGTCATGTGTGGGCCAGCAAAGTATCATGCTCTATGTAGTTCACAATTGCTGTGTTACGTTGTAGAAGGTGAAAACATGTTTGGATGGAGATGCGCTGCTTTTAAAACTTTAACATGACCACACTGCGGGCATTTTAATACAGGATATCACAGTTATCATTACATCCCTACTTAGTATGCCACCGAGTCCAATAAAACTCAAGAGAAACCTGCACAACACGTTAATGCACTCAATTGTTGAGGAGTTGCCAAAACATATGATATGCTTACGATCAGCCTGAAACCGATATGCTTACGATCAGCCTGAAACCTTCTGTTCTTTATATTTGAGTATCTTTAAATTTGATTATACATCGCCAACCACAGTTGATGATCTTATTTTTTCTCCAAATAAGCGGAAAAAAATAGCAACTCAATTGAGGCGTTCCACTTGCATTCTATTTGAAATGTGTTTGACACCGGTCATTGTAAGCATAATATGGACGCAGTAGTATGTGAATTACTTTGACAAATCCAGTCCAGACTGTTCCAAGTTCTGACAATCCAGAATGTACATGTTCGATGTCCAGCTAATTTATCCATCCATCTATTTTATAATTTGTATCCTTACAGCTCCTATATTTTGTTGTTCTACTTCTTCCGTTCAATAACTTTGCTGCTGTGAATTGGGAATATCTCCATTGCGAGACTAATAAAGGTTTTCTTATCTTATCTTATCTTACAAGGATAGCGGTCGTGCTGGAGCCTATCTCAGCTGTCTACGGGCAGTAGGCGGGGTACACCCTGAAATGGTTGCCAGCCAATCACACATAAACGAACAACCATTCACGCTCACAATCACACCTACGGACTATTTAGAATGTTCCATTTATTAGCCGTGCATATTTTTTGCAATGTGAGAGGAAATCGGAGTACACGGAGAAAACACGCAGGCACGGGGAGAACGTGCAAACTCCACACAGGATGGCCGGAGCCGAAATTGAACCCTGCACCTCTCCACCGGAACGGACGCACTAACCAGTCTTCCACTGAGCCGCCTTACAAATGATTTAATCATTCAAATTAACAACATGCGTGCAATTGGTGCAGAGGGTTACATAAAGGTACACAGTTTTAAAAAGTAGTGTAACAGTAAAACGAAGATGCAGAGAATCGCGGCATAGACTGACACAATATAAATTGGCCGCCAGATAGCATTAGCATTGATGACAATAACTGTCGATGTGTGCTACGCATTTTCAGTAAGGCCATTCCGACATCTTCCCAGAAGTCGAGTGTATTTATTGGTAACACCACTATTCAGAAACAACAGTCTGCCAACCTTGCATGCTGATGCTCTCGCACAACTGAAGCATTAGCTGGTGGCTATCCACTCGAAGCACCGCGAAGGCCTGAGCAAATTACCACGGCCGTGCTAGCTTACTTAGCTCCAAAAAAAGAAAAAAATACATGAAACAATACGCAACCAACTGTAAGTGCAAACCTACTTACCGACGGCACACCGCTTTATGTTGAAATTCCACAGATTATGTTACTTCTCCCAGCGAATTTCCCCCTGTTGTACTCATTAAAACAGTAAAGATGGCGCCAGCCGCCTTCCTCCCGCTCACCGCTGCCCTTTTAAAATCCACAGGATGTTTACAGTCAAATATGGCGGAGGAGGAGTTTCCTGAGCGGGAGGCAACGCGCAATGAGCACCTACGGCCGACAGAAGGCTCTGTCGCACAATGTCCTCTGTGAAGACGTGAAGAGGAAACAAATATGTAATAAATGAAAATAAATAGGCAGCAAGGTACTAGCACTCTTCACCACAGTGGAAGGACGCTAGTGCAGGTACTTGTGTAAAACAAATATATATATATATATAAATAATAAAATGTAGAAAAAATACAGAGCCAGAGATTACAATAAAATGGGGCACTATGCACGACAGTTCATGACGTATTTCCGACAATTTAACTATTGCAACAGCGAATCGACGAAGGTAGTCTTGTCCGGATTTCACCTTGTTTCTACTTGTTCGGTTCCCCGGCGAGTCACACTAAGTTGCGCTCACCCCGCCATCCTTGCGAGGCACCGGGCGATGAGGCGATGTCGGCCTTTCCGTCACGAGGCTTCGAGGCAACATCCTCATCCTGCAGTTGGAAGTATAAGCTGGTCATGTTTAATGTTCTATTATTGGTATGTATTTTGTTTTCATAAGTTCAAATTTGTTGCATCCGTACCGTCGAACGTGACAATAAAGGCTTTGTATTCTATTTTGTGGTTGTTTTTGTGGCCTCTAAACAAATTTGGGTTGAGCATGTCAAAATAAGATCTGCAAGTCTATGTTCACACGACCTGCGTGTACTGCAAATCAGAAAATGGCTCATTAAATGGAATATGGTGCTTTGATCACTTCACCCACCTTGGATAACTGGAGCAAATAAGGTAACACGTCATTTGTGGTCACTTGACGTCACTGCAGCAGATCGTGAGTATATTTTAAAGACTTTGACGCTGTCACTATGAGTTGGACGAGCGACCCGAAATTACCACGCCTTCGGAGCCCAAATCCATAAGTGGGACGTGTATCGAGTCCATTCACTGCCTGTTCTGATGTTCTGCTTTGTTATGTGTGATGCTGTGTGCCGTCGAGGGGCGTGGTCTAGTGAGTGACATCAGGAGCAAGAGTCAGCGGATTGGCTGTATACCACGGACTCAGCGCGTGAGTATGGAAGCAAATTTGTTGTAAATGTGGGCTAATTTATACTTGTGCGATGGAAATGTAATACATTTGTAGTTGAAAAAAAACTTGTAGGTTTACAAAATACTTGTGTTTTTGTGGCAGAAAAAGAAGTTGCAATTGACCAAAAAAATACTTTTATGGCTGTATGAATCAATTTTACCTGTTAAAAAGAATACATGTATTTCTAGGTGAAGCAAAAACTACTTATAGGTTTGGAAAATAATTTTGTAGTTGAAGCAAAATTAAACTTGTACTTATGTGGAAACAAATATTTCTCCCTGTAGAAATGACAAGCTGCAGTCGAAGAAGTCACCACTAAGAGTCAGGAAGTGTTTTTGCTGTTGCTGTCCGCACATGTGACTTTTGCAACAAGAGAGAGAGAGAGAGAGAGAGAGAGAGAGAGAGAGAGAGAGAGAGAGAGAGAGAGACAGACAGACAGACAGACAGACAGATTTTGTCTGTTTTTTTTGGTTCGTTTTTTTTTTTGCTGTACTTTCTCACTCTGAAACTAATCAAATAATAAAATCTACAAACAAAAAACAAAATCATTTTCTTTTGTGTAGTCGTCATTCGACAGAAGATGTTAACCTGTGTGAAAGCATAGGTACAGTTAATAGTAATGCCAAGCTTGGAAGAAATGCAACCATCAGATGTATGAAACATACGAACTAGATGTCCATTGCACTCATCCAAAATTACCAAGCAGGACATCAGCTGTTGCCTCAGTGCGACCCAAATTGCAAAACTGGTCAACAGAAAATAGGATTTGTCTCTTAGGCTACAGTATCTTGCACAGTAAGAGGCTGCCAGCTGAGCATGTAATCATTCATCAGCAGCAGGGGCCTGTGTCATAGCACAGGGATTTTCGCAACGTAACTGTGGCACAACTCAGCCATCAAAATAATCTGATACGGTATTTGTATCCATTCGGATATGGAATTTATTTGTTGCAAATGGCACACTGCGTAACTGAATGTGGAACAAGGACCAAGGTCATGCCATAGAAATATAATCAATAGCAGTTAAAAGTAAGTACAGCTTGTCTACTGTGACTTTTCATGAAAGTACCGGTAATTCCTTTCTCATTTGTGATCCAACATCAATCCATGCTTTTTGTGAGAGCATCAAAGAATTAATTGGGCCCCAAAAGTGAAACAAGAGTTTAAAGCTATGACACTAAATGACAAAGTTAGTGTACATCCATGTAATGCAGCATCCATAAGGGGCATATCACCTATTTTATTACAAAATGCTGCACAATATCAGGGGAGGTTACACAGTTTTAGTATTATCACCATCTGTTAAACAAGATCATTTCATCCCGAGGGGCCATTTCTGTGTGCTGAAATGAAATGACGCTTCACAACTAGATGAGGACGTACAAATGAAACGATGACCAAGTAACTTAATATTGTCATTTAATTTGACTCCACTGTGTGTACCTTCCAGAATTGAACAGTGGTGGGAGATCATCGAATTGATGATGAATGTAATTGATGAATGTAATTGTGCTTCATCCCCATGGAATGAATTGTTTCAGGTGACATAATAGAGCAAATATGAATGCATTCCATCACAGTTCCACAGGGAGTCTCTGCAAAGGAACAACTAGAATCAAGAGTTGCGGCCTGACAAATTCTGAATGTGCCCTAGCAGTCTGAAAACGCTTTTTTATTTCTTATATATAGGTACCTGTATATGGTAATATAGAATCATTTCACTGCATTAGCTCTCTTTATTCACTATGAAGGAAGTGAGGGCTGATTGTCTATAGCAGGGGTCCATCCATCCATTTTCCGATCCACTTTATTCTCGCAAGGGTCGCGGGGCGTGCTGGAGCCTATCCCAGCTGTCTTCGGGCAGTAGCCGGGGGACACCCTGAACCGGTTGCCAGCCAATCGCAGGGCATATAGCAGGGGTTGGCAACCCAAAGTGTTGTAAGAGCCATATTGGACAAAAAACAAAAAAAACAAAACAACAACAAAAAAGAATATGTTTGGAGTTTAAAAAATTAAAAGCCTTATAATGAAGGAAACACATGCTGTATGTATCTATATTAGCTATATTAGCCTAATATCAAAATGACTAGGTTGGCAACACATTGATTCATGATTAAATGTTTTTTATTCCTGCAGTGCATCTGCAGAGCAGGGGTGCCCAACCTTTTTGACCGAAGATCAACTTTCCGATCAACCAACCTCCTGTGATCGAGCTATTACAGCACACGCACGCGCGTACACACACATGCCATTATGAGCAACAGCCATAATGACCCCTAAGATGTACGAAACAGAAAAATAAAGTAGACGCAAGAGTTTGTGGGTTTGTGAAAAGGAAATCACTGCCTACCTTAGTTGAGACCTGACGCGGAGGCATGGGACACACTTTTTGTTTACGATAGTAGCTCGCATGTACCGTTTTAAATGCCTCTCCCGCCCCTCCAGATTCCCATCCTTTGCCAGTACCCTTGGTGAATTGTACATAAAATGCTGTATTTTTTTTTTTTTTTTTTTTACAACAGGCATATGACTGACATCCCGCCCTGCTAATGGAAATGTGTGTCGCAGGCTACGATGCAAATCCTCGACAGGAATGTTGAAGTGTAATATTTATTCTACACATTTTTACAGCATTGGAAAACGTTAAGAATGTTTGTGTCATATTTGTCCTCCGACAGAAACCATATTAAAACAAAATATTTCCCAAACATTTTTGAAAAAGCTCCAAGGAGCCACTACGGCAGCGCTTAAAGAGCCGCATGTGGCTCTAGAGCAGGGGTGGGCAATCCCAGTCCTGGAGGGCTGCTATCCTGCATGTTTTCCATCTGTCCCTTCTCCAACACACCTGATTCAAATGATCAGATCATCAGCAAGCTCTGTCGAGGCCTGAACAATTGAATCAGGTGTGTTGCAACAGGGAAAGATGGAAAACATGCAGGATAGCGGCCCTCCAGGACTGGGATTGCCCACCCCTGCTCTAGAGCCACGGGTTGCTGACCCCTGGTCTACAGTATTAGCTTGGTCTGTTTATTATTTCAACTTCAAAGCTGCTTGGATGATCAGCGGCCTTCGGGCACGTGATTTCCGGGTTGAGTGAACGCTGGCGTTGTCTGGCTGCCGCTGCTCACCCGCCACACATTTTTAACGTTTTTACGGTTTTACTGTCGCCAATTTATTTTTGATCGTCAACCACTATCTGATTGTTTTTAATCACGCTGTCACAGCGTCCTACCTTTTCGGATCTCAGACAGGTCCCGTGCCATCTCCACCCCTCTATACCTCATGACGGGGGAAATCGGGGCCTTTGTCTGGGCCATACTAATTTGGACCATCCTGTCGCTCCTCCATCGACCTATGGAAGGACTACTTCGGTACTCAGCGGCAGAACTTCTCGGGCTCCGCTTTCGGTGGTTGCGCTTTCCACCTGCGCTGCACCGCTTCCCGGACAACGTTCTTTGTCCCTCCTGGAAATACATTCACCGTGGGTCTCGTCGGGGCTTCTACCTTGATCGATCCGAGGCCATCACCTCCTTCTGGTCATCCTCCCGCCGGCCACGCAGAAAACACGGCC